GCTATGTGTGGCAGTGTATGTGGGCAGTCTTGCTGCGGGAAAAGAAAGAAAAATAAAGCAAACAAAATATAGTGTTCTGAAGAGGTTGGAGAGAAAAAACTAGAATGGAGAATTTATTTTTTGGAGTGTGTTGGTAGTTACAGTATAGTAGAAAAGACAGAAAGGCAGAAGTAGAGAGAAGGTGTAAGAGAAGGCAGGAAAGGAGAGTTTGGCGCAGGGAGGTATGATCTCACGTTTGGAGGCTCTGTAGAGTGTGGGAGGTTTGTTGTTGCGCGTACGGAGGCATTCTTTCTCTTTACTGTGCGCAGAGAGACAGAGTGAGTCATATTTTTTATTTTCGAGGGCGGGAAAACAGAGAAGGAGCACACACGCGCAGAAGGAGACAGCAAGAATGGGGCCAGGAGGGCGCGTTGGCGCGGAGTGTGCATTCAAAGTGCCAGTGCGAGAGCGTATGCATAAAGAGATGCGAGCAAGGGCGCAACACACAGAATAGATCGGGGAATGGCCTTGAAAGCATCATTCGGGCACAGTGCAAGCACAGAAGGGCAGTGCAGGATATGCGGTGCCACAGACAGGGCGAGCACTCGCGCGCAGGGCGGGCGGCCTTACCCTCTTTCCTGCCGGCATTCCGTGCTGCGTGGAGAGGGCGTGCGTTTCGGGTTGTTATTCTCTGCGAAAGTATTAGATATATTTTATTTGGATCGGCACATCATTTTGATGGCGCACACAAATATATAAGCACACGCGAATTTGCATGCATGGCTGGACACACGCTTCAAACAAGTCGGAAAAAGCAGGCGCTGTTGTGCATCGGGGTGCTGCTGGCTGTGGTGTGTGCTGTAGGTGTGTGCATTTTTGTGTACAAGCAAATGGATGGGGGCGCTTTGGGCGGGACATATGGAAAGGAGCAGGCGCTCTTGGGGGCGGGTGCAGGGGAGAGCCAGGATTCAAAGGCAGCCTTGCACGAGCTAGTAGAATGCTTGTATGCAGGGGGCGGGCAGAATGCAGCGCGGTTCTGGGCAGACATAACAAAGCAAACAAAGAGCTTGGAGAATGCAGAGACAAAGCAAGGCATAAAGCAGGTGGAGACAGAAAGAACGCATCCGATGTCTTTCATGATGGCGGTGTTTTGCGTAGTGGGGGTGCGGAATGGAGAGAGATTGGGTTCGGAGAAAAAAGGCACTTCCAGCTTGCTGGCAGCCTTAGAAGAGCCGACAGAAAGGCTTGGCGCAGATGCAGTGCAACCCGCAGAGCAGATAGAGACAGAGCGACCTTGCAGTGCGAAGTTGAAGGCGTGCATACGCAGGCTGGTAGAATGCATTGAAGAAGAGCAAAGGAAAAACACAAAGCAGGTGGGTGTAAACTATGGCGTCAAAATGCAAGGCATGGGGCAGGTGGAGAGCGAGGGGGCGCAGCGTGCGGAAGAGCCCGGTTCTGTTAAGAGTGAGCGGCCTACACGGGCATAGTGAGCGCTTGGGGCTAGAAAAAACACAGGCTGTGCCAGAGGAGGAAAGCAAGGAGGAGGCCTCCGTTGCAACAGAGAGCGAGGGTCTGTGCAAGAAGAAGGCGTGTCGTGAGACCATGTTTAAAGGCATGGGGCGGGTGGATTGCAGGGGGCGTGTGCAGAGCTGGCAAGGTTTGCTTGGGAGTGAAGGCTCCAGGGGAAGAGTCCGGCTTTTCAAGCGTAAGTAAACTTCTTTCCTCTTTTTTTCTTCCACGGTCTATTCATTAATTCTTTTGTTTGTTCGGAGAGATGTCTGCGGCACACTGCTGGGGTGCGTACAGAGGGGGTGCTGGTGGAGGACACGGGCAAGTTAAAGGGCGCTGCGCTGGAGAGCCGGCATCAGTGGCTGTGCCAGGCGCGTTCCTGTTGGCACTCCTTCCGCCTGCTAGCGGCCTCCAGGCCAACAACAAGCTGGAGGTGGGCCGGGTGTGCTGCTTGCTGACAGCACAGCTACGGGTGGCTGCTCGTGGCTGGTTTCTGTTTATGCTGGCTTGGCAGAGGCCATGCAAGAGTACGGCAAATTAAAAGCATAGGCAAGTATTTAAGAAGGCCGGGTTTATGGACAAAAGACAACTTTTCACTAGCACTTCAAGTGTTGCAACTAAGTGCCTGGCATGGGGAGAGGCGGGCCGCGTGGAAGAGGCCGAAGGCTGGAGTTCAGTCTAGAAAAGTTTTATTTTCTTTGCAGGGCCGTGGGAAGCTTCCAAATGGAAAGGCTTTTTAGAAGTGCGGTTCTTTTTAGCACAAGTTGTATAAAAGCGCCGCGCAGTGCGCATATACTGCCAAGAGCAAGCAATCAACAGAATAGTGCATAGGCGCATTTCTCTAGCCGGCGGGCCATACCATTTGACCGTGCGCGCGTATGTGCAACAGCTAGGCCCTCCTGTTTAAGATGGACTGGAGTATGTGCTGCACGCCGTCTAACACCTCTTCTCCGCTGGGCGTCTGCAGCAGGGCGCTCTGGTGCGTGCCCAGCGCCTCCAGCATTGCAGAGGCTGTTTGTCTGCTGACAAGAATCATGCAATTGGCTTTTTTGCATGCCTGGATCGACCTTGGCTTAAGCCTGCTGCCCAGAGCAAGCACCAGCTCGTGCGGGGTTTCTTTGTATTTCAAGCTGGCAAGGAACACGAAGAGGTCGAAGAGCGCCTTGGTGTCCAGTGCGTCCTTCCGGTCTTCCTCCTCCACGTCGAGAAGGAGTGTGCCAATTTCGTCTATGTGGCGCGTTGACTTGTCTGCAAGCAAAAGAGGGAACAAAAGATTGATGTTGAAATTCTCTGTTAGTAGTTCGCACCAGAAAAGAGGCTTGCCTGCTTTATCTTTGTACTCTCTAAAGTATTTCATGATGGCGTTCCCTGCGGGCGCACAGTTGGTTCCGGTGTGCTCACATATGTTGAGGATGCTGTATGGGTGTCTATAGAATATAACAAATGTGTTCTTTGCCAGGCCAATTTTTGGAAATAGCTTGCCCAGCACATCCAGGCATACTATATCCCCCAGCGAATTGCATTGCGTTGCATAGTCGTCCAGCGGAAGGCTGCCGAGTAGGTTCGAGAGAAGGCGCACGCCCGGGTGCTCCTGGGTGAGCTCTGTGCCTTTTGCTGCTGCATGGAAGATGAAGTCCTTAGTGATTGCGAATACAGGGTCCTGCTTTAAAGCCAGCCCCAGCACCAAAAGCTCGTTTAGGTGCTCTGGGGCTGCATCTTCCGCCAGGCGGCCTGTGGCCTCCCGTATGCCTTGAGCAAGCATTTTCCCTTGCGGGCCCAGGCCCCTGGCCCTCCACGCGTCTGCGTACTTGGCAAGCAGACACTCGGCAAAGGTCTTGGGCTCTGAACAGCTGTCCACCGCAAAGAAGGCCTCTTCTTTACCACTCGCAGAAGAAAGAAAGGCGCACGGGCACAAAGTAACTGTAAGATGTCCAGGCTTAAAGGCAAGGCATAAGCCCTGCTCTATCACGCTGTCTTTGTCTGTGTACTTCAGGGCGATTTTTCCATAGAGGTCTTTCTGCCCGTCGCTCCGGGCGTCGACCTTCAAGTCGGAGAATTCGACTTTTAAGCTCTTATTCACGGAGAGCGACTCGAAAAGCTCTGTTACATACTTTTTTGTTTTT